TATTTGACAGAGAGAGATCACAAGTAGGCAGAGAGGCAGGCGAGGGGCGGGGGAAGAAGGCCCCCTGCTGAGCAGAGAGCCTGACGTGGGGCTCAATCCCAGGATCCTGGGATCATGACCTGAGCCGGAAGCAGAGGCTTTGACCCACTAAGCCACCTCTGTGCCCCCTCATTCTTTCTTGCTGTGTATTTCCTTTTTGTTGTCACTAGATAAACCTCAGGGTTTTTTTCTTTACTCTGATCAAATTTACAAATTTCCTTCCCCGGAGATCCTCCAGTCAGGATCTTCAAGGCCATGGGCCTGCTCCATGGTAATAGTTGCTTCTTACAGATTAAAGATCCTGTTGAAGGTCCTGAGTCAGTCTCATAAAGATCCTGGGCTTAAGTCGCATTCAAATAATCCCCTTTGCTGAGGCACAGAGTGGGTGTTTTCCCCTCTAAACAAGAGGATGAGAATTTCTTTCCAACACAGGCACAGGGGGAAGACTGAAGCAGCAGGAGTGTGCTTGGCCCATTACTCGGTGGTTGACGGATCATCTTCTGTATGGTTGTCTCTTTTTTTCTGCCATGCCCATCATCTTCTCTCTCTCCTTTCTCTCTGTACAAATTCCCTCAGAATATTTTGGATTTCTAGCCATGTAAAGTTGCAGGTTTCTGTTTTCGTCACCTGTAGCATGGACCTGGGTGGTCAGAAAGGAAAGCACCAGAGCCCAGCAGTCGGCCTCTTTGGCAGTTGTCGCTTCCTCCAGGGAATACCAGTCAATCTCCCGGGGGTCAGGGTTCACAAACAGTAAGGTCATTTGTCTATAGCCCGGGTCAAAGCCATTAAGCTCCATAATTCCAAGGTTAGACCCTTGGAGTAGTGATAAAACTGCAGTGCTGAGCAGACCTCAGGTTCACTGGCTAAAGGTTTTGCATCAGAAGAGCATTTGAGCTACTTTCTCTGGCGATTTGGAAGGGATCTCTTTTCTTATCACCATCTGAGCCACAGGATACCATAAATGTGCATCTCAACACCATCGGGCATCAGATGTGTGCACAATGGCAGCAAGGGAAGGAGTAGCAGAGGAAAGAGGGAAGGCTCCTGCCCTTACCTGAGCAACAGCGCATTAGGCAACTGGAATGCCATGCTTATCCTCCTGGAGCTGGTTGTCTTACCTTTCCAAAATTTCACAAAGGACAGCTGCATGCCCATCCCAGCGGTACACAATAACAAACCATGCTATGCATGGGTACCCTGAGCAGTCAGGGGTGGTCACCAGACTATGCAGTAACCACAGAGTTCTAGCCAGATCTTTGGTAGGTGGGGTGCAAATGCAGTTAGGGAACAGTGTTGTCACTGCCTTTACAGGAAGGAGCTTCACAGCCACATTGAGCCCAAAGGGAAGTCACCTGGTGTATGGCCAATTAACAATTCTCTTAGGGACAAGAGCTTTTTAGGGTGGGAAGACACAGTGACACCCCAAAAAGGTGGCAGTACAGTGGTCAAAAGGCAGGACTGGCAACAACTGGCAGCTCTGTCCCAAGGGGCCTTTGTCATATCACAGAACCAGTTAGTCAGTCAAGAACAATTAGTTAATGATAACTAAATGAACTACATCTTAGATGGTGACCTTCATCTTGGATGGACCATCCTGTTCATTATGATAAGTGTATTAACTGCCTACTGTTCACTCGGTTGGTGGTGGGATTCCATCTTGGTTTCAGATGTAAAAGAGTCCATTATACGAGGACTTGATTTCAGGCAACAGTTACTATAATTTAGAATATTCCAAAGACTATAAATACATCTCAAATGTTCATTAATGTTGATTATATTTTCAGTGCAGAAACCTGACAAACAAAAACCATAACACAGAAACAAGATGTTATGAAGAGAGGTAAGACATTTATGATACTTCCAAAAAAGATAATAAGGCTTTCAAGAGCAGAAAAGCTATAACTGAAAATAGGTTTAGTGGCTGTCAATATGCGATTTCTGAGAATGCATTCCTGCCTCCCACCATGGGAAAACTGGTACTGAATAATGTGAGTTCTTAATTTTTTAAATATAGAAGAAAGCAGCTTCACAGATTCATCTACACTGCTATATCCAGGCAGGGTTGTTTAATACACTTTATTTTTTAGAATAGTTTTAGAGTTACAAAAAAATTGAGCAGAAAGTACAGAGTTCCTATATACCCCCTTCACTTCCACCCACTGCTACAGTCCCGTTATTTGAATTTTGCATTAGTGTGGTACATTTGTTACAACTGATGAGCCAATATTGATACATTATTACTAACTAAAGTCCACAGTTTACCTCAGGGTTTACCCTTTGTGTTTTACACTTTATGGGCACTGACAAATAAATTACATGTATCTACTATTATAGTATCCTACAAAATTGTTTCGCTGTCTTAAAAATCCTCTACAACCCACCTATTCAACCTTCCCTGCCTTGCCCCAAACCCCTGGCTATCACTCATCTTTTTACTGTCTCCATATGCTTCTGCTGTTATCAGAATGCACTACAGATGGAAACCAAAGTGTAAAGCCTTTTCAGATTGGCTCTTTTCATTTAGCAACATGTGAGTAAGTTTCCTCCAGGTCTTCTGTTCCTGTGAACTCATTTCTTTTTACCACTCACTCAATCACTGTACCTTGTAACCTTGTTATAATTGCTTACCAGTGTCAAGGTACTCTATTGTTGACTCCTTGGAATTTTATACCTACAGAATCATATCGTGTGAATATAGATAGTTTTATTATCTCTTCCTTCCAAACCCAAGTTTATTTTGTCATACTGTGTTAGCAAGACTTCCAGAAGGAGGCTGAAAAAGAGTGGTCAAAGGGGCCCCCTTCCTCCTTATCTTACCAGGAAAGAATCTATTCTCACCATTAAGTATGATGTTAGCTATAGGGCTGTTGCAGACGTGTTTTACCGAGTTAAAGAAATTCCCTGTATTCCTAGTATGCTGAGATTTCTTATTGTGAATATGGGTTAAGATTTTGTGAAATGCTTTTCTGCACCTATTGGTATGATCATATGGTAATTTCTTCTTTTGCCTGTTGATGTGATGGGTTAGATGAACTGATTATCAAATGTTGAACTAGGACTGCATACCTGGAATAAACCCCACTTGGTCATGGTGTGAAAATACATACTGTTGGATTCAATTTGCTAATGACTTGTTGAGGATTTCTGCATCTATGTTCCAAGACATAGAGTTCTGTCTGCAGTTTCCTTTTCTTGTAATGTCTGCCTTGTTTTGCTACTACAGCAATGTTGGCCTCACAGAATGAGTTAAGAAGTAGTTCTGCTTTACTTTTTGGAAGAGATTGTAGAGAAGTGGTATCACTTCTTCCTGAAGTGTTTGGTAGAATTCACTAATGAACACATTTGGGCCTGACACTCTCTGATTTGGAAGATCAAGTATTAACTCAATTTCTTTAACAGCTATATGCCTAGTTAGATCTTTCTGTGAGTTTTGGCAGATTGTGTCTTTCAAGGAACTGGTCTATTTCATTTCATCTAGGTTGTGAAATTTGTGGACAGAGAGCAGTCTATAGTATTATTATCCTTTTTAATGTCCATGGAATCAGTTGTTATGGCTTTCCCTCATTCTCTTGTCAGCACCTTGTATCTTCTCTTTTTCTTAGTTAATTTAGCAGAGATGTTTATCAGTTTCATTGACCTTTTCAAATAACTAACTTTTGGTTCTACTGATTTCTGCTCGAAGTATTATTTCTTTTGTTTTGTTTACGCTGGATTTAATCAGCTCCTTTTCCTAGTTTCCTAAGATGTAAGCTTAGACTCTTTGTGCAAGTTAAGATTATTCATTTCTGTAACCTGGTTTGTGTAATCTGACTGATGGTGTAATTTATTATACCACCTTTATACCCTGTCAGTCAATAAATGCCCCATTCCAGCCCCACCCACTCCAGTCTCAACCCACCTTCTCACAGAGCCAAAAATCTCCAAGGGCTCAGATCTGTCTCTGGCTACACTGGCCTCTGCCTTAGAGGGCAGTTACTTGCAGAGGGTTTGTATAAAATTTGGGCTGAGGACCAGAGGACTCACATATGTACACTCAAGGCACCTCCCTGGTTTGACATGAACCATGGGTGAATGGGGAAAATGAGACTAGGGACCAGATATCCCTCTGCACTGAATACATTCTATTTGCCACTTTGCTATTTTGATTTATACATTCTAAATGGTTACATATGAGCTCTGTGGGCCTCCTTTTACAAACTGCTCAGCCCTTACACACATGGGAGATGTGCCTGATATGGTAACAACTGCCAGATTAGGAGTGTCTGTTCTGTGTTCACAACTAGATTAAATTGCATAATGCATATGAAGCACATATAGTTTATATAAGGTACCGTATGTGGATACACAAATCCTGCACACTTGAGGGACGCTTCACATAAGGATTTAAGGCTGTGGCCCTAATTACTCAGTTTATTTCTGCTTTTAAAAAGCTTCATATTCACATGATTGCCAGAATGAGGGCTGCAGTACGATTAACACAAGGGAACTTCTCATGATGAAATCGTGATTCCCTTGTAATTCTAATGCAACAGAAACTCCAGATTCCTTTTCGATTTTGTAAGCTGTGTTGATGGTTACTCAAACTATTAAGTGATAAAATTTCACAGAACTACATGTACATACACACAAACTGCATGTAAAAACTGAAGTGGGAATAAGGACTGTATGTGACTTAGTACTGTGGTACCATCAACTCCCTGTGCTTGACAATATACCATGGTTGTGGAAGACGGCAACAGAGGAAGCTTGCTGGAGGGCACGTGAGAATTCTATGTACGACTGCAACTTCTTGTAAGTCTATTTTTTCATTTTACTTTTTTGTTTTTAAAGCTTTACATGGCACAATATACTTCTATAAATTACAATTTCTTATGTTTTCCAAAGATAAATACGGCATCAAAACCCAAAACTCAACTTCTAATGTTGTATTACTTCTAAAAATAATCTTCAAGCTGTATACCTCAAATTGAAAGGTTTCTCTTTAATATAAATTCTGACATAACCTAGTTTGTATTTTTGCTAAAAAAGCAAACAAACAAACATACTTTTACAAAATAAAAAAATCTGTAATGTTTTATACCAGTATTTGCTTGGTGGCATTCAATGGAATGTTACTTAACAAGACTGTCCTGCGTTTGTTGCAGTCTACTTTGGAGTAAAATAAGGCCAGTTTGTGTGGAAGAAGGTTCCCGAACATTCAGGATGTCAACAGAGCTTCTGCCAGTGTGAATTCTTGTATAATAGCTGCTGAAGTGCAGCTCGACACTCCTAACATCCACTTCAATTCTAAGATTTTTCTCCTGTGTGTGTTCTCTGATGTACAATGAGGTTTGACTTCTGAGAGAAGGTTTTTCCACATGTGTTACATTCATAGGGCTTCTCCCCTGTGTGTGATCTCTGATGTTTAGCAAGGTCTGACTTGCGATAAAAAATTTTCCCACATTCATTACACTGACAAGATTTCTCTCCTGTGTGAGCCCTGTGATGTACTGTGAGGGATGATTTGTGGCTGAAGGTTTTCCCACATTCGTTACATTCATAGGGTTTCTCCCCTGTGTGTTTTCTGTGATGTAAAATAAGTCCTGACTTCACACAGAAAGATTTCCCACATTCATTACATTTATAGGGCTTTTCTTCTGTATGAGTTCTCTGGTGGACAATCAAGGCGGACTTATGACAGAAAGCCTTTCCACATTCATTACACTCATAAGGTTTCTCACCTATGTGAATTCTCTGGTGCTGCGTGAGCTGAGACTTCTGACAGAAGGTTTTCCCACATTCGTTACATTCATAGGGTTTCTCCCCTGTGTGTGTTCTATTATGTTTAGTTAGGTATGATTTATTATAGAAAATTTTCCCACATTCATGACATTCAAAGGGTTTCTCCCCTGTATGTGTCCTATAATGTTGAGAGAGGGTAGACTTATGGCTGAAGAATTTCCCACATTCAGGACATGCAAAAGGCTTCTCCCCTGTGTGAGTTCTCTGATGTACTGTGAGGTCAGACTTCAAGCAGAAGGTTTTCCCACATTCAAAACATTCATAAGGTTTCAACCCTGTATGAATTATCTGATGCCGGGTGAGAACTGACTTGTGGTAGAATGTTTTCCCACATGCATTACATTCGTAGGGTTTATCCCCTATGTGAGTTCTCTGATGTTGTGTAAGATGTGACTTCTGACAGAAAGATTTCCCACAGTCAGGACATTCAAAGGGTTTTTCACCTGTATGAGTTCTCTGATGCACTGTAAGGTGTGAATTCATACAGAAGGATTTCCCGCATTCATAGCATTCATAGGGTTTCAGCCCTGTGTGTGTTCTCTGGTGTTTAGTGAGGTCTGACTTCTGATAAAAAGTTTTCCCACATGCATTACACTGATAGGGTTTCTCACCTGTATGTGTTCTCTGGTGTAACGTGAGGGCTGACTTGTGGCTGAAGGCTTTCCCACATTCACTGCACACATAGGGTTTCTCTCCTGTGTGTGACCTCTGATGTTTAGTGAGGTTTGACTTCTCCCAAAAAGTTTTTCCACATTCAATACACTGAAAGCGTTTCTCTCCTGTGTGTATCCTCTGATGTCGAGTGAGGTGGGATTTCTCCCAAAACGCTTTCCCACATTCATTACATTCAAAGTGTTTTTCTCCTTTATGACTTTTCTGAAGTTGTGAAAGGCATAAATTCCTCCTGAAATTATTCCCACTTTGATTACATTCATAGTGTTTCATATGTACCCCATGATGTTTCAAAAGGGTAGACTTTACACATAATGATTTTCCACAACCACTAAATCCACAGTGATTTTCCTCTGAGGAATTTATCCGATGGAATAAGAAGGAGTTATCAAAGAAGGTTCTCCCATATTCATTACATTCACAGTCATTCCCTTCTGCAATCTCTCTCTTGTAGGTACTAAATATTGCCTTTTCAAGGAAGGTTTCTTGATAAATGTTATAATCAAAATTTTGCTCTAACGTTTGAATCTTCTCAGGACGAATAGGGTCCTCATCATGACTCAACGTTTTCCCATTTTTAAAAAATTCACTTTTCTCTCTAGTATGAGTTTTCTCATGTTTAATACTGAGTAGCAATTTTCCATAGGCATTAAATTCATCAGTCTTTTTTCCTAAATAGTTTTTCTTATCGATAAAAAATTCTGAAATACAGCTGAAATTCACTCCACATGAGTCCCACTGACAGAGGGTTCTTCTGGAAGGAAAAGACTTTGTGTCCAAGTTAAGTGGTTTTTCTACTACATTACCTTGTTCTTTAGTTAGTGTTTTATTATTGATGAATGCAACTTCCCACACATGTCTAGGCTGGTTTTTGTGGCTTCTTTCTTTCTTGTGATCCGTTTTCCAGATTTCTAAAAATAAGAAAAATTAACCTTGCATAGAAATATTAACACATTTTTTATGGAATGCAATATATATACAAATGCCCTATGTTATAGCTGATTTGGATTTCTTGTTTAGTCTCCAGAGAAGAAAATAATTTTAAGCACATATTTTTTTCTATTCTTGAGTTTGATATGAAAAAACAGAAATGAAAACAAGAAACAAAAGCCTGGCACAGAAAAGAAAAAAAAAAAAAGCCTGGCACAGTGCAAAAAGGGAGCAGAAACTGGCTATTACAACATGTACATCTGCATTCCAATGTCTGAAAAATAACAGCACCTGTTAAAATCTGAATGTGTCCATCTCCCCTCTAAAAAAAATGTATAGATCAATATAAGGAGAGCAAATAAAATTACCTACAACAACCCACGACTTTAGCATAACTAGGAGATACAAAGCACTAGTAAATTCAAATCACCACTAAGGAAAGAAACATTTAAATACAGAAGAAACTGATAATGAGACCACATCCATTGAAAGAGTCAGCTACATACTGTAGCAACCACACATAAAGAAGAAACAGGGAACTCAGAGATGATTAAATGTAATTAGAATCATTCCCATTAAGGGGAAGTTCCACTACAAGTGGGGGAATACTGAGATGACTTCTCAGTTCTGATACACGACAATTCAGACCACTGGGAACTCCAAGAGTATATGGGAACTAAGGACACAACGCTTAGTGATCTAGGTGAGGAATAATATTGTAAAAAGGACAATGTGACCTTAGAATAGACTTAAATTACAAGGAGCCAGATATGAACTGAACTGTCCCTCTCCCAAACATATGCTGCAGCCCTAATTCCCAATGTGACTGTATCTGGAGACAGTGCCTTTAAGGAGGCAATTAAGGTTGAATTAGGTCATCAGGGTGTAGGGCTAATCTGATAGGAATGGCATCCTTATTAGAAGAAAAAGAGACACCAACTTCCTTGCTCCCACCATGTGCACAGAAAAAAAGCGATGTGAGGCTACAGCAAGAAGGTGCTCTCTGCAAGCTGCAGAGATAGGGCTCACCAGAAACCAACCCTGCTGGCACCTTCACCTTGGCTTTACAGACTCCAGAAGTGTGAGAAAACAAATTTCTGTTATTTAAGTCACCCAGTCTGTGGTGTTTTGTTGTAGTAGTCCAGGCAGACTGACAGAGAGCGCAAAGAGAAAAGAGACTTCCCTGGAATTTTAATAAATAGCACTGAAAAAGGCATGATGACAGAGCAGAAAAAATGACAATAAAACTAAAGAAAGAAGAAATGGATCACAAAGCGGCCCGGCTAAAGAAGGTAGTCTGCAAAATAAATAAAAATTTTAAAATAAAATTATATGCATATATGTAGGATTATAGTCTCTATAGAGGAAAAACCCTAGAAAAGAGAAAACTAAACCCAAAAGCAATAAGAGAAGTAAGGAATAAACCCAAAAGCAGTAAGAGAAGTAAGGAATAAAGATCATATGGAAAATAATGAGATCAATGAAATACTATACACATACTTCATTTCCAATATAAAAATTTCCTATATGTTGATTTCCCACAAATTCTGTTTTCATGAACATTCAGCTCAAAATAGTTTCTAATTTACCCTTCAAATTCTTCTCTGAACCATCAAGTTATGTAAAAGTGTGCCATTAAGTTTCTAACTATTTAGGAATTTTACAGCTCTTTCTGTTATTGATTTTTAATTTGGCTAGATTTAACTCTACTCTGGTAAGAAAAAAATATTTTATATGACTTGACTCCTTTTAAATTAATTGAGATTTGTTTTAGATCTTAGAATGTGATCTACCTTGGTTTATATTCATGTGTTCCTGAAAAGAATGTGTATTCCACTAGTTTATTTGTGTGTAGGGGTGGGGGATATTTTATAAATGTCAAGTCAATTTGGTTACTCAGTGTTCTTCTATTTATCAGGACAGGGGTATTGAAACAGACTGTAACTGTGCGTCTTTTTCTCATTCAAGTTCCATCAGGTTTTCCTTTCTAACACTTTGAAAAACTTATCTGTCATCCTAGTAACACTGGGCACCCCCAAGGCAGAGCCCTCTGACAAGAGGCATTAGAGACGTACACTGTGGAAGGAAAGGACTTCAAATAATCCAGTCCAGTCATTAAATAAATAAATAAGCAAGGAAAAATAACAACAGGCCCTTTCAGAGAAAGAAGGAATCAGTATGAGGCTAGGTACAAAATATCTAAAATAACCCTTTTGTCCAAAAAAAAAAAAAAAAAAGAAAGAAAGAAAGAAAAAAGATTTGTCTTGTGATTCACAAGACAAAGAGGAAAATTTCACATATATGGGGGAAAGAGCAGGCAACTAACTGCCCTTCAAAGAGTCCAGATATCGGACTTAGCACTTCTCAAAGCAGCTTTTACAAACACACCCAAAAGGCAACCATGTTCAAGGAAGTAAAGGAAGGTAATGATGGCACCCTCATCACATAGAGAATATCAACAAACTGAAAAGAATGAAACAAAAATTCTCAATTTGAAAATTATAATATCTGCACTGTAAATTCGTTAGGCTCGTTGATTCAAGCTTATAGAACACGAATTAGTTAACTTGAAGATACATCAACAGATATCATTTACGCAAAAGAAATAAGAATGAATAAAACTGAAGAAAGCCTCAAACAAATGAAAGATAGTGCTATCTGCACCAACATATTCATAATGGGAATATCAAAAGAAGAGAAGGAAGAGCAAGAGGAGAAAAATCATTCAACAAAATGATGGCAAAATCCTGCAAATTTAAGGGAAAAATAATGTGCAAATTCAAGAAGATAAACTCCATGTGAGATAAACAGAGATCCATGCCAAGATGCATCATAGTGAAAATATTAAAAAAGAATCACAAAAAGAAAACTTAAGTATCAAGAGAAATACAACTCATTACATATAGAGAACTCCAGTGAGACTGATACCTGACATTTCTGTATGTTATTTTTAAATTTTCCTCTGGGCTGTCTTTCATTCATGCTTTACTTATGTGTCTTGTTTAATTCTGAAGTGTTTAGGTATTTTTCTATTGCCTTTTTAAAAAAGATTTTATTTATTTATTTGACAGATAGAGATCACAAGTAGGCAGAGAGAGAGAGGAAGGGAAGCAGGCTCCCCGCTGAACAGAGAGCCTGACTCCAGGCTGGATCCCAGGACTCTGGGATCACGCCCTGAGCCCAAGGCAGAGGCTTGAACCCACTGAGCCACCCGGGTGCCCTCTACTGCCTTTCTATTACCGATTCGCAGTTTGAATTCCTTGTGCTAAAAGAACATAGCACAATTTTGGTTCTGCTAAATTTACTAAGGTTTGTTTATGGCCTAGGATATGCTGTATCTTACTGAATGCTCCACAGGCACTTGAGAAGAATGTATATCCTGCTGCTTTTAGGTACTATCTACAAATGTTCATTCAATCCCACTGGTGGATGGTACCATTCAGTTCTTCTACATCTGCCATTAATTTATATCTGCTGTCCGAAAGTTCTACCAATTGCTGAGAGTAAGGTGCTGAATTCCCCAAATATAACTGAAAATTTGTTTATTTCTCTTTTCAGCTCAATCAGTTTTGATTTGTGTACTATGAGGTTCTTTCTGTCGTTTGGTGGGGTCACATTTTGGATCACAGTCTTTTTCGTTGGAATACTGCTTTTTCCCCAATAATTTCCTTTGCTCTCAAGACTACTTTATCTGATATTAATGGAGTCAGTCTTGTTTTGTTTTCATTAATGTTTGCATAGTGTATCTTTTTCTTTCTCATTTTTTAAAAAGATTTTATTTGTTTATTTGACAGAGAGAGAGACAGAGAGACAGCGAGAGAGGGAACACAAGCAGGGGGAGTAAGAGAGGGAGAAGCAGGCTTCCCACCAAGCAAGGAGCCTGATGCAGGGCTGGATCCCAGGATCCTGGGATTATGCCCTGAGCTGAAGGCAGACACTTAATGACTGAGCCACCCAGGTACCCCAGTGTATCTTTTTCTATTTCCCATCAACCTCACTATGTTGTATTTGAAATGAATTTCTTTGTAGATAACATATTTCTGCCTTTTGTTTTTTGTTTTATCCAGTCTGCCAGTCTACACCTGAATTGGTGTGTTTTTTCATTTTTTTTCTTTTAAAGATTTTATTTATTTATTTGACAGAGAGATCACAAGCAGGCAGAGAGGCAGGCAGAGAGAGAGGAGGAAGCAGGCTCCCTGCTGAGCAGAGAGCCCGATGCAGGGCTCGATCCCAGGACTCTGAGATCATGACCTGAGCCAAAGGCAGCGGCTTAACCCACTGAGCCACCCAGGTGCCCCTGTTTTTTCATTTTTTTAAAAGATTTTATTTATTTATTTGAGAGAGAGACAGTGAGAGAGAAAGCATGAGAGAGGGGAAGGTCAGAGGGAGAAGCAGACTCCCCATGGAGCTGGGAACCCAATGTGCGACTCCATCCCGGTACTCTGGGATCACGACCTGAGCCAAAGGCAGTCGCTTAACCAACTGAGCCACTCAGGTGCCCTGAATTGGTGTGTTTAGATCATTTACATTTACAGTAGACATTGCTATGTCAATGTTTAAGTCTGCTGTTTTATTTTTCTATTGTTTTCTCAGTTTCTCATTCATCTGTTCCTAATTTATTTTCTTACTGGTTACTTGAACATCTTTTTAAAGATTCCATCTTCATTTACTTACAGTATTTCTAAGTTTACCACCTTGTATAGTTTTTTTAGTGGTTGTTCTAGGTATTCCAAGTCCATTTCTAGGTAAAATGTACATACACAATTTATTACAGTCTTCCTGGATCAACATTTTACCACTTCAAGGAAATATAACACTTTAATTCCAATTAAATTCCTGTATTCTATCTTGTAAATAATCATATCCTCCACACACAGAGCATCAAATCATGATATTCTAAATTTTGCTTCAACAATCAAATAGGATTTCAGAAACTCCTTAGATGGAAACTCCATTATATTTACCCTTATTTTTTGCCACTTTCAATGTTCTTTCTTTTTTGAAGTTCCAAGTTTCCTTGTTATTTCCTTTCTATTTAAAGAACTTCCTCTAGCCATTTTTAAAAGTTTGCTAACAACATTTTCTCTTTTTTTTCCTTTGTAGGATACCTTCAGTTATCCTTCTTTCATGAATGTATTTTCACAAGCCACAGTTCTTTTTGTTTGAAAGTTCTTTTCTTTCAGTACTTGGAAAAAAAAATGTATTATTGCCTTCTAGCCTCCATGGTTTCAGATGACAAATTCACTATTATTTCCAAAGGAAATGAGTTGTTTCTCTCTACTCTCAAAATTTTTTCTCTTTTGGTTTCAGAAATTTAATCATGATATGCCACTGGTATGAATATCTTTTTTGCCAAATTTGGAAAGTTTTCATCATTATTCCTTTAAATACTTCAAGTGCCATCATCTCTTCCCTTTTTAGTTCTTGTTTTTCTTTTTAAAGATTTTATTTATTTATTTGAGACAGAGACAGAACATAAGCAGGGGGAGAGGGGCACAGGGAAAAGAAGGATAAGAAGCAGACTCCCCACTTAACAAGGAGCCCAAAGCAAGGCTTGATCTCAGGACCCTGGGATCATGACTTGAGCCAAAGGCAGACACTTAACCAACTGAGCCACCCACGTGCCCCAATACAAATGTTAGTTCTTCAGTTATTCCAAATACAGAGAAAATCCAGCCTCTTCTCATTATTTTCACTCCTCTCCAATTTTGACTAAATGACCATAATCACCCTTCAGGAAAACTAAAAGTGTCCTCTAGTGAACTCTCTTAAGTGCTTATGTTCTTTCCAATATTTTCTCTACAGAAGTGAGAAAGATCTTATAAACGTAAATCAGACATTGTTTGTTTACCAAAGTACACTAGTAAGAATAAAATTAAAAACTTCAGTAAGACTTATGATATTCATCTTTTGGACCACAGCTGCCTGACATCATTTCTTGCCCCCCTTCCCATCAAACATTCCCCTTGGCCATTGTGACTATTTTTGCTGTTTCCCAAGAAACACCAAACACATTCCTCCTCATTGGCTTAGTAGCTGCTATTACCCCTGCTGTGAAGAGGAGGGATCCTCACAGCTCACACAATCATCTCATTCAAATTCTGCTTTTTTTTTTTTTAAAGATTTTATTTATTTATTTGACAGAGAGAGAGAGAGATCATAAGTAGGTAGAGAGGCAGGCAGAGAGAGAGAGGGAAGCAGGCTTCCCGCTGAACAGAGAGCCTGATGTGGGGCTCGATCCCAGGACCCTGAGATCATGACCCAAGCTGAAGGCAGAGGCTTAATCCACTGAGCTACCCAGGCGCCCCTCAAATTCTGCTTTGATGGCGATCTCCTTAAAGTTTTCCCTAAGACTCTTCTTAGAGTAGCACAATCAACTTAACTTTGCTCTAATTCTAGGATAATTTTTAACACTACAGGGCTTTAATACACATAAGTATCTGATTTTAGTGCCACCTTTTAAATTTATATTTGACATATAACTGCATAAATTTACAGTGTACAATCTGTTAATCTGATACATTTTTATGCTGTGTAATTACCACTGTACCAATAATTATACCCGTTATGTTACATAATTACCACTTCTTACTAGTGATTAGAATAATTAAGTTCTAGTGTCTCAGTAAATTTGATTATTGTAACAAAATATTGTCTATATTCATTATATGATATATAACATCTCTAGGGCTTATTTATCTTTTTTTTTTTTTAAGATGGTATTCATTCACTTGACAGAGACACAGCAGTAGAGGGAACACAAGCGGGGGAAGTAGAAGAGGGAGAAGCAGGCTTCCCACTGAGCAGAGAGCCTCATGCGGGGCTCAATCCCAGGACCCTGGGATCAAGACCCAGGCCGAATGCAGATGCTTAATGACTGAGCCACCCAGGCACCCCTCTAGGGCTTATTTACTACTCGTTACACTTTTATACACTTAAACAACATCTCTTCTTTCTCGCAACCCCTCTACTCCGGGTAACCACCACATTACTCATGTTTATAACAAATACGGCTTTTCTAGATTCCAGACACAAGTGACGACATGCAGTACTTGCCTTTCTCTGTCAGACTTACCTCACTTGACATAAAGCACTCAAGGTTTACCCATTTTGCAAGTGGCAGAATGTCCTTTCTCATGGCTGAATAGTATTCTATTACTCACACATACCTATTTTATTTAGCTATTCATCCACTGATAGGAACCTAAGGTCATTTCCATATCTGGCTATTGTGAATCATACTGTGATAAACACCAGCGTGCACATTCTCTCTTTGACAGCCTGTTTTCATTTCCTCTGGGTGTCTTCCCAAGCGGAACTACTGGATCATACAGGATAGTTCTATATTTTACTTTCTGAGGAATCTCTATACTCTTTTCTATTGTAGCTGAACCAATTTACATCACAGTCAGCAGTGCACAAGCGCTCCTTTTTCTCCACATCCTTCCCAGAACTTGTTATCTCTTCTCTTCTTGGTACTAGCCATTCTAAATGGTGTGATGTGTGGTTCCGATTTGCATTTCCCTGACGTTTAGTAACGCTGACCATCTTTTCATGTATTTGTTGGCTGCTACTGCTATTTGTATAAGCTCATCGACACACAGATAATAGCAACTACTCAAAAACTACTTGAGTCAAAAAATGAGCATAGGAAAGAATGCCTGATGACGGTAAGGCAGGCAACTGAAACTGCTTTGAGAAACAAAGGAATGAAAAAACAACAGTAAAAATAAGGTAGGCAAAGACTGGTCTTTTGATAGATGTAAGAATGGTAAATACTCAAAAAGTGAATCAAAAAGAATGTTTTTTAAGAGTGGTTTCTGGAGATTTGGTTCAAAAACCAGTATTCCCAGTCAGTTCCCAGGATTAAGACTTCTAAAGAGATATTCTTGAAATTGTCAACCTCTGGGTTAATCATGGGAAAATACTAAATGCCCTGATGTTCATCTGTGCAGTGTCCATTAACTCACCTGGGAAGCTCTGGCTTGGGAATTCTTCCTCCAGTATCCACGGCTCCTCTCCTCGCTCTAGCCTGAAGATCACTTCTGGTTTCGTAACACAACACCCTGACAAAGCAAAACAGTTTAGGATTCAGACCAGAAGGCCTGGACTGCAGGGTTTCTGAAAGAGCGGCAAGCTTCTGGAGCTGCTCGACGAAGACGCTATGGAACATTTCACTGGAGAAGTTTACACAAATATCTTCCTGGTACCCAAAAGAGATCAATCAACACTGATTCCTCAATTCCAATATTGAAAATCATTCAGCTCTACAGTGTCTATATACTTCACAGTTAAAAGAATGAGAACATGCTCTTTGGAATTACAAAAAACCAGACCTTACCCAGTGAGACAAGGTTACTGTAGTTCTCCAGCATCACGTCTCTATACAGGGACCTCTGAGCTGAATCCAGGTGCTGCCACTCTTCCTGGGTAAAGCCCACAGTCACATCCTTAAACGACACTGATCCCTGGAATTTCTGTTCAACCTGAAATGTTCAGAATTGGGTAACATGGAAAAAGCCGTATGGGAACCAATCCTCACCAGGATTACCAAAATAGTTTGCAAAACATCTGACTTTATACTTTGAGGGAAGATGAGAAACCATAATGGAAATACTATGCCATTGCCTTAAGGTATTATTCATGTAAAAAAATGATCAAATTGCACACTATATCTGGAACCATTCTAGTTCTTAGAAATGCTAAGATTATTAAAATTGTTCTTGGATTCAAGTAGCAATAATATGGTAAGAAAACACGCAGTAGTATGTTATGATCCCTAAGGTTAGAGTACACAGCAGACAGACTGAAATAAATGAGAAAGAAAATTAGTTCTATTTTGAGCTTCACTGAAGAACAGCTACGGGACAAACAGTCTTGCTGTGCTGTTCACACAACTGCATGGTACATGTGAAGGCAGGGCTCCTCTAGCACATTTGGGAAATGAGCAGAGGGCAACAGCACAGGAAATGTTGAGAAACAGCTGGTGCTGTGAGGACAGAAAGGGCCATGAAGAAAGCAAGCCATGAATGGATTACAGAGTAATTTCAGACCAAGTCTCCAAAATACGTGATCACCACCAACCTTAGAGAGTATTTCTGAGTACTACACAAGTTGTATTTATGAATTATGGAAATAAATTATCAATATATTTTGTGACAAGCTTTATTTTTCCTCAACTTTAAAAAGTAAAAAGACAGCTTAATATTTTATTTCACTGCAGTACATATTCTAGGTTCGGAGTCTTCAATTTAGAGCCCATAATTAGGACGTGTAGAAAATGAGAAGGGAAGATTTTGGAACTGTTACACTTGAAATACCTGTAGAACACAGAAAAGATACCAACTGGATTGTTTGGGATGTCATCTAGAGAGCATGCTTCTACTTTACAACTCACCATTTCAAAGAAAGGGGAGCCAGAGAAGAGATCTGAGTATGTATAAAAATTATGTGACTAGGTTTTTATTTATAGACCAATTCTCCCAAAAAGGTAAAGGGAAAGGTAAAGGACAAAAACCACCACTTAGATAAACTACTACTGCAAAAGCTGTGAAACAAATAGGGAATTGATAAGCGGACAGAGAGTGATAGAACACGGCCACCAATCTTCGGCAGAAAGAAGTTTCCTCAGAGTATATGCACAAACAGCTGCATAAACACAAGTTATCACAAAATAAGCAAGGAAAAAAATAAACTGGACACTGTATTTTAACAAGATACATCTTAAATGTGAAACGTAATACTGTAGGTCTAGAATGAAAATAAAGATTTGACAAACATTAATAATTTGGTAGTGTTTGACATCACCAACAATGAATCAGAAAGCTCTCAGAGAAGTAAGAGACTGAAAATAATCAAGAAGGCAAGGTGAGGAGAAATCACTTTTTAACTGGAAAACAGAAGAACAGGCCATGAAGGAATTTCCTGAAGGTGGAAATAAAAATAAGAATGAATAGTTTTAAAAACTAAGAGATGATAATATGATCATCTGAGTATATACACAAAACTGTGATTTAAAAAAAAAATAGTGGCAAACTAGAAAGAAATTTCCCTAGTGTGATAATGGACTTTCATAGATACCTACAACAAATATTACACTTAATGGTGAAATATACAAGTGTTCAATTTAGGGGCGTCTGGGTGGATGGGTCTGTTAAGCATCTGACTCTTGATTTTGGCTCATGTCATGATCTCAGAGTCGTGAGATCAAGCCCCGCATCAGGCTCCACGCTGAATGGGGAGTCCACTGGAATTCTCTTTCGCCCTTTCCCTCTGCCCCTCCCCTAATCGTGCACGTGCTTATGTGTGCAGTCTCTTTCTCTCTTAAGAAAAAAAAAGGAAGGAAACATGCTGAAGAATTCTGACCTCCATATATGAAAAAATTAACGTTATTCTGACTCCTGGTTTTAGCTTAATGATATCCTTGAGACTTCTTTATTTCACAATTAAATTAAATTAATTTAATTAAATTAATTAATTAATTAATTAAATTAAATTAAATTAAACAATTTGTCACTGTCAACTCTGTGATTTTTGTAAATTGGTTGAAGTATGAATATACATAAAAATAACACAAAAGTGAACCTTGGAATACAAATGGCTCCATGTAGTTTCACACAGTGAACACATGCATAAAACCAGCATTTAGATCAAGAAATAAAACATTAGTGAAACTGAGAAGCTCCTTCATGCCCCATCTAGTATCTACCACCTCAGCATGGAGTCTGCTTCTCCCTATCTGCCTGCCTCTCTGCCTACTTGTGATCTCTATCAAATAAGTAAATAAAATCTTTTAAAAAAATGATAAAGGGAAAAAGATGGGACAGATTGAGAGTTTCAAAAAGAGATATAAAAACTATGAGAAAGACTGAATATAAATGGCAAACCTTAAAAGCAGCCAGAGAGAAATGAAACGGTAATTACCTTCACAGAAAATGCAGTCCCAAACTGCAAAATATATTTATACACATACACACACACACACTTTTCAGATTCACACGTACCTTCTGTACTTAAATTGACCAGTCTTGGACACAAAGCCGATTTCCACAACTTCAAAGATTTGATATCATATAGAGGACATTCTTTTTGCAGTGTTTAATATATCAGTAAGAAAAAGATTAACTAGAAAACGTCACAACGTTTACAGATTAAGATACATGTGTTGTTATATTTATTTAAGAAATATATTTCTAAATAGAGATTAGAGGTTATTTATTTATTTATTTATTATTTGAGAGAGAGAACACACCCATGTGCCTTGCAAGTGGGTAGGGAGGGGCAGAGGGAGAATCTCAAGCAGACTCCCCACTGAGCATGCAGCCCTCCATGCAGCGCAATCCTACAACCCTGAGACCACGACCTGAGCCAAGACCAAGAGCTGGACACTTAACCTACTGAAACATTCATGTACCCCTAGATTAGAGAATATTTTTAAGTGAATTATCAAAATACAACATACTGGGGCGCCTGGGTGGCTCAGTGGGTTAAAGCCTCTGCCTTCGGCTCAGGTCATGATCCCAGGGTCCTAGAATCAAGCCCTGCATCGGGCTCTCTGCTCAGCAGGGAGTCTGCTTCCCTTCCTCTCTCTCTGCCTGCCTCTCTGCCTACTTGTGATCTCTGTCTGTCAAATAAATAAATAAAATCTTAAAAAAAAATACAACATACCAAAACCTGTGAGACACATCTTAGAAGTTATGCTTAGAAAAAAACAAATCCTTAATAGTATATATTAGAAAAGTTAAAAAATCAGTAAGTATCTACCTTTTTTTAAAACAAAAGAGGAAGTTACAGCTAATATATGCACAAAGACATGTTACAGATCAGACATTAACAGATTTTAAAAATCTACATACAGTAGAAAGAGAGAGGACAAAATCAAGTCTGTACCTTGACAATTCTTTGCCAAAACTGATCAAGTTATAAAGAAGAAAGGCTCACTCTCCAATATCTGGCCTGAAAACAACATCTCTATACAGTTCCTGTGGTCTATGAAAATATAGTGAAGAAATTACGGGCCAATAAATTTGAAAATGTGGGGGAAAAGTTTACTTTCAAAGAAAGAAACTACTTACCAAAACTTACTTTTTAAAAAAGAAAATCTAGGGTCACCTGGGTAGCTCAGTTGCGTGTCCGACTTTTTTTTTTTTTTTTAAGATTTTATTTATTTACTTATTTGACAGACAGAGATCACAAGTAGGCAGAGAGGCAGGCAGAGGTTGCGGGGGTGGGTGGGGAGCAGACTCCCTGCTGAGCAGAGAACCCAATGTGGGGCTCGATCCCAGGACCCTGAGATCATGACCTGAGTGGAAGGCAGAGGCTTAACCCATTGAGCCACCCAGGTGCCCCGAGTGTCCGACTCTTGATCCTGGCTCAAGTCTCAATCTCAGGGTCATGAGTTTGAGCCCTGTGCTGGGCTCCACTGTGGACATGTAGCCTACAAAAGACAGGCAGGCAGGCAGGCAGAAAGAAAGAGAAAGAGAGAGAGGAAGAGAGAGAAAGAGAAAGAGAGAAAGAGAGAGAGAGAGAGAGAAAGAGAGAAAGAAAGAAAGAAAGAAAGAAAGAAAGAAAGAAAGAAAGAAAGAAAGAAAGAAAGAAAGAAAGAAAGAGAAGGAGAGAAAATCTAATGCCACATGTCTGTTAAGGAAATTGCATCTATAATTTAAACTCTTCCCATGCGGGTGCCTGGCTGGCTCAGTTGATGGAACATGTGACTCTCAATCTCAAGGTTGTGAGTTCAAGCCCCAAGTTGGGAACAGAGCTTCCTTAACAAAAGAGAGACAGGAAGAAAGAAATCTTCCCATGAAGGCAATCCAGGCACAGATGGCCTCACATATGAATGAAAAACCTAAGAAGTAGCAACAAAATAAAACATCCTGTAGAGAAAGCAAGAGGAAATACTTCGAATTCATGTTATAAATTCAACATATTCCTGATATTAAATACTAAACCGTAACAAGAACATATCCTCCCCCCTCTCTACCCCAAAACACTTACTGGTCTGTCTTTCTCATGAGGTACACAAATATAAAAATCCAAAACAAAGTATTATCAAACTAAAGCCAGGAATATATAAAAAGAATACCATGGCCCAGCTCAGTTTCAAGAATATCTAGTTTGTTTTACATTTAAAAATTAATGTAATTTACCAACTAAGAAAATAGAGGAGATAAATCACATGATGATTTCAATAGATGTTCAAAACCATTGAATAAAATTTAATAGACATTCACGAAAACAAGAAAAACTTTAGATAAGAAGGAATAGAAGGGGACATCCTTGATGTGGTAAGAAATGAGAAATAAGGGGCGCCTGGGTGGCACAGCTGGTTAGGTGTCCGACTCCTGGTTTCGGCTAAGGTCATGATCTCAGGGTTGTGGGATCAGGTCCATGTTAGGCTCTGTGTTCAGTGGGTCTGCTTGAGATTCTCTCCCTCCTTCCATCCTCTCACTCGTGTTCTTTCTCTCAGGTAAATAAAATAAATCTT